AAGGAAGGAATCGAATTTGACGAAGTTTTTGCACCTGTTGCTAGGATCGAAATAATCAGGTTGGTTGTTGGTCTAGCAAATATGAACAATTGACACATATGTCAGATGAATGTGAAATATGCATTCCTGAATGACCCCTTAGATGAAGAAGTTTATGTTGCACAACCAGCTGGGTTTGTGAAACAAAGCGAAGAAAGAAAGGTATACAGGTTGCGTAAAACTCTGTATTAACTTAAGCAAACTCCAAGAGTTTGAAATAAAAAGATCGACATGAGATCTATTATCGTGTTTTTCGTATTGTGGTGTCACTATGTTCTTCAGATCTATGATAGTTCTCTAAAGTCAAAATGTTTTGTCAATTCTGAGTTTTTCTAATTTTAGCGTAGTAGTATATAATGTTAGATGGAGTTAGAGAGATTATTTTTAATCACATAAGAATAATATATTGGAAGAAAATCTAACATTTTACTTATACTTATAGTTTATGTAATATGTGATAATGTTGAACTAATTATTAGTTGAGATATTTAGAATGCAATTGCATTCATATTATTAGTTGTTATTTTTTCAATAATTTGTTTAAAGTTCTATAATTTAAGCTATATATCTTTTCGTTTTAGATACTGTAATTTTTAATTTTTTAATTTATCTACGTATAATCAGATTTCAACATTAAAAAAAAAACGTTTTAGAATAGCAATTAACAAAAGAAACCTTATTTGTAGAGACATATTGTTCTCTTTAAAAAAGAAGCCTTATAGATAGAGAAAAAGATAAGATTCAAAGAGAAAGTTGAACAACAATTGGGGGGAACACGGTGTCCTGAATGATAGACTTTCAAGTACAAAGGAAGTTTGTTTGGTATTGATAACATTGATTTCCATGTACATGACAAATCACAATGTTTGGAAATTTGTCTCCTACATAATATGATGTGACACATCACTTAGTATATGGTCCTCTTGTTACGCCCAAAAGCCAATACCAAACAGTACTTTAGTGCTCAATTCCAAGACTAGCATGATTTGATTCCACAATATATGTTTGTCTCTACATGAGATCATTCATACTACCAATGCCACATGCATGAACAAAACCTCACTTAAATGGTTGATGTTGATAATGGAAACACTCAAAACCATCCAACTCATATGTTTGTGTATAAATATCCTTTACTTAGCCAATTGCCAAACCTAAAAAATACTACATCTTTATTATGTGGGCCATTGTTACCATTGCATGAGTCTTGTCTATCCAGCCAGCCACATGGTCAGCCATAGAATTTTGAATCAAAATCATAATCAAAAGTAAGTATACAATATCAACCAAGTTTTCTTCAATTCTACTATCCTAGAAACTTCCTTTTTTGTTTAAAACAACCTAATAAAAATTAAATATAAGATATAATAAAAAAAAATTATAATAAATATCATATAAAATAGAAGATAAAGAGTAATGAAACGCATCGTTAGTTTATATTGGATGGAAAAATCGATACTTTTTAAAATTATATTCATTAAATTAAAAGATAAGTCTTTAGACTCATCGTAAAAGATCCAATATCTTTGATGTTAGAAAATCAAAAGTCTTAATGACAAATTGTATGAAAAGTTTGTTGACCGTCAAAACACGCTTTCTCATATTTGACAATTTTATTTAAAGCGGTTTTGAAGTTTGTCTTTCTCACAGTAAAATCTCAGGTCTTAGTCCCACTTTTGGGAAAACTCATGTTAAGTCCATATATGTATGTTTCCCTCCTACTTAACCTTATATCAGAACATCTTATGCTCTAAGTGTCAATATCTTATCCTGTGGGTCTGTCAAAAAATTCAATTTTTTCACAAATACTTTGGCCCGTCGAAGTATATCAATAGAACATCTTTAACAATGTGATGTTAGTATTTAAAGTCTATAAGCTCCTTACAATGATTTGTATGTTTCCTAAATGTATCCAAACACGTCTTGCGACAAACAAGATAAACTTCATCAATAGGAAATAAGAGAATCATAAGTCGATATCTAAGGATAGTAATATACTCTACCAGTGACATTCTTTGGCATAACCTATGATTTGTAATAGTAAGAAAAAAATCATGAGCCTGTGTTGCTTGCAAACAACCAAAAACTACTTTATATCGTGTGGTAACATCAAACTTTATGACCATGTCCTAAACACTTTTACTAAAAATGACATTTGTCAAAATATGTTGTGCTTTAGGAGGGACGGTGTCTTCGCTAGTAAAATTGCTAAGGTTAAAATCTGGAATCACAACATTAAGACCATCCAAAGTTGTGCCGAAATCATGGTCCATACCATATATATCTTACTTCATCTCAATATATGATCATATAACACTAAAGCTTGTGTCATAGAAGCCACAAATGCGTAAGAGACATCATATATTGTCGACTACAAACTCAATCCTCCAACTCTAATGGGTAAATAAGCCACATTCCATTGAAGATCCTCGAAGAAAGTACCTCCACCAACTACAATGTATTCAACCACACTTCATAGCTCTTTATCAAACCAAATAAATGCTTCATCCAGGTGATTAGTTTGACATGTTCTTAGGCAAAAAAAAGTTTTGCAATACCCATACAGGATCAAAGTAAGAGAAACTCATTCCGAGAATCCCTTAGCTTTGGTAGAATATGCATTAACTAAACAACCCCAACAACTCTCTTTATGGACAAACCCTTGTTAAAGCCTCCATCTCGACTAACATCCCCTCCAAAAAGATTTATCCCCAACATCATCCTTCTAATGTCCTAAGGGAACACATCCCCGCAAAGCTTACTACCATCACACGAAGGACAAAAGATCTCATCTTATAGATATTCAATTTGAAACCTAATCCTTGACCTGTCTCATGAATAATATAGAGGGCTTTAGCCACCTCCTTTGAACCTCATGTGATGGTTACGTCATCAAGATAATAGGCATGAAGAAGAAACTTACAATTGTCTATAATCTTATGAATAAATGAGTGTAATACAAAAGCAAAATGGAGCGGTCCTAACGGGCGACCTTGTTGCACTCTAGTGGCTAACACAATATGTCAACTTCTAAGGTACAACCTCGCCGACTGGACTTAAATAAAATCAACCTATAAAGAAATTGATGGGCATCTCACCATTACCTCACGTAGAAGGGATAATTGATCTACCATATTAAAAGAATTCTTGTGAGCATAGCCAAAGAACCATCCCCATGTCGGTTGCTTAACACCTTGTTGGCACTATGCGAAATGGCCACAACACCACCTGATACCCCAACCCTAAATTGGAAGTCATTGTGATATCGTGCCACATCTTTATTGGTACATTTCATAGCAACCTTGGATATCAAAAACCTTCAAATAGTACCTACAATAATTGGTTGTATGCCACCATCAGAATTTAATAACATTGTCAAGGGTGCAGAGGTAATAAACTCTTCCAAAATCATCAAACATATTCCTCTCAGCCATAGGTTAACAACTAAAGTAATTACACTTAAAAGATCTCTTACCACAACAAGACCTTTTTCACATAATGTGTCTAATAAATTTTGTACTCGCAAACCATTCTACCACATGACGTCACTTTTGGAAAATATTTGATGCACCTAAATATATTATCAATATCAGTCACTAGAGAAACTTCAAAGAACAAGGTGGTAGGCATGGAGGGACGTTGTTTCTACGAGTGCTTAGCTTCAAAAACCTTTATTGTATGTCCGTTATAAAGGGTTGCTCCAAATGACCCCGACATTTTCACATCTAATGTGAAGTGGCCATGTACAACCATGCGGAGACATTACTTGACATTAAAGCTCATCTTTTTTCTTTCTCCTCAATATGAACTCCCTCAAAATCTAATTTATCTTACTCAAATATTTCCAACACACTATTAACTAACTTGACAATATCATCTACGTCTCTCCAATTAGCCATGCACTCTAAAATGCATTGTTGTTGCTAGGATTTTGGTTTCTAGACTTGCGAACCCACCTATTATGAGACTTGACCACCTATAAAGTGGAAAGATGAAGAAGTAACAATCGAACCCAAATACCTATAGATCCTAGTTCCACAATCACCTTATAAAGAACATCTTTTAATGTCTGGGTGAAAGCAAGACAACACCTAAGAGGTATGCTTTTCACGGTGAAGATAACTGTTATGGTGACTCTTTCTAACAACCATGCATCTACAATAAGCCCCTAGTTTGTGTTGAGGTTATCAAAGTTAGTTGTAAATGATTTTACAATACACACAATGTGACTTCAGACCTCCCCTATAACTAACACAAACCGGACCATCAGGATGATGACATGGCCGACTCATGGCATGAATACTCATACACCTTCTATGTAACCATTTCTCAACCACACTTAAAGACTCCTGCAACACTATAAACAAATTTTAATCATTCTCAATGACTTTCCATGATGCATTTTCCATTCGTCCCTATATAAGTGTACCTTCTTAAAATGAGACTCTATATGAGAAAAACTCTTCGACTATGAAATTCTCAAAATAGATAATACAAGTCTTTTATCTGAATAAAAACTATTAGACAATACAAATTATGTTTCTCTCCTGCTCTATACAAAGGATCTAGTTGAAAAAAAATTACAAATTTATGAGCACCAACGAAAGAACATTTTGTCATGAATATGTTGTAATGTTGATGTCTTGCTTTAGAACGAACACGAATTTTCTGACAGATGATGTTGATTCGAGGTAGTGAGGGGCTTAGACCGTAATTCTTGTAGATTTTAATTGTTTGGGTTTGTATTATAAATTAAAATTACAAAATTAAAATAAAAAGTAAACAATGACTTTTATTGCGAGACAAATTTTATTGCAAACGTGATAATTATTGTTATTATAAGGAATCCATAAACTTAACCTTATTATTAAAAAGGAATACCTCATGTGTCAAACTTCTATACATCCCTTTTTTTCCCATTTATAGGTAGTTACAAGAATTACCAAATTCAACTCCATGCAATGGAAACACAGAGTCATGAACCACTTCAAAATCCACAAGAAACTCAGAAATACAACACGTATGAAGAAGAAAAGCAGGTAAAGCTAGATATTGTATTGAATCTCAATGTTCCTAACAACTATTGTGAGCTTGGGGGCAGTTCAGACTCCAATCTAGTCACCACAGATGATTCTTCCAAAACTATATCAAATCATTACAACCGTGGCTCTGAATCATCTTCAGAGTCACGGTTTTTTTCTTGCAACTATTGCAAGAGAAAATTTTTTAGTTCGCAAGCATTGGGAGGACACCAAAACGCTCACAAGAGAGAGAGGTCAATTGCAAAAAGAGGACATAGGTTTATAGGAACACACATGATGTTGCCAGCAACAGGAACAAGAACAACCTCGTTTTTTCAGAATCATCTCCACCATGGTGGTGCTAATAGCAATACTTTTAGACCACTTGGAATTAAGGCTCATTCTATGATTCAGAAGCCTTTTCATAACTTTTCATCCAGTGGATTTGGAAGCACTTATTATGGATATAATGGTTGGGCAAGACCACTTATTATGAATCAACAAACTGGTATAAGAAAGTTAGGTGTGGAAACTTTCAAGGAAACAGGATTATCATCACATGAAAGTGTTGGGAGATTCAAAAGGGTTGAAGAGGACATGGTGAATTCAGAAACTCGTTTGAATTTGAAGAGTAATCAAGAAGAGGTGAAGCACCTTGACTTATCCTTAAAACTCTAAGCATGTGTTCTTGGTAAGTATAGGCATAGGTAGTTAGCATTTAGACAATTTTATTCTCTCATTGTTTGTAATGATTTATTCTGTAAACCGTTTTATGATCTGGTAAGGAATTTTCGTATTCAATTTCTTTCTTATTCATTGTCCGTGAGGTTAGATATGCAATGATCATGAGCTGTAAAAATGAATGATTAGCAATGCTCAACTAGGGAAAGGGAGAAAAAAAGGTAAAGGTCTAGTGCATAATGTCCTTGTTTTTATTAAATTCTTTCTCTGAGACCGTTGATAGCAGTGTAGAGACATCGAATTAATCGACGTAAGGTTGAATCCCGGCATAAATTTGAATCCGTAATATTCGACTTTTTCATCTTTAATAAGATGGAGCTATTGAACCTCACAAGTAGCATTGACTAGTGTTATTTATTGTGCTTCATATATGGGAGGATTTATAAACATTACTTTGCTTCTCATATTTCCATAAAATTAGAGTTCCTAAGAAGAAGCAAAAACATGAAGTAGATATCCTAATGTTTGGGCAAGACCCCAAATAGTTGCAGGAAAAGAAAGTCATTTTCCTTGTTGGAGCTTGAGGTAATGAAGGAAGATATGTAGGAATTGGAAGTGAAGATTAGTATGTGACAACAAAAACTGACTCAATTTGCATACAATAAAAGAAATGTCAGGAGGACGTAGTTAAGAAAAATGCTTATTTGTAATTTTTAAAAAAAAAGTGAAAATAAAAAAAAGACAATAAATCTTAAGGATTTATTATTATCATTACTCCATCATTTGGAAATTAAATTAATAATAAATTAAAAGTTATCCTCTATTATAATGACATATTACATTCTTTTTTCTTTTTTTTTTCAAATTGTTTAGAAATGATTGAAATTAAACTCAAGCCTTAGAGTAATTTTGAATCAATTTTGATGAATAATATTTTATCAACCGATTGAATTTTCTTCTGTTCTTCACTCTTCACTCGAGTCAGTCAATCATACATTGATTGTAAGATTGTAGCGTTGCACAATTAATAATTGAAGGAAGAAAAGAAAACTGAATCTGGGGAAGAAAGATAGGTTAGGGTTTTTGAGGAAAAAAAAAGAAGAAGAATAAAAGATTTTCTGCAGAGCTTCTCCCTACTATAAAACTGGAATTTTATTCTTTACAACTGCAAGTTCTTCTTATACAATGATATGGATTACTCTCTTTTTATAGATTTTGGGTTTGTTTGCTCCTTAAGCAAGTTTCAAAATTCCTAATTCTGCTAATACTACAAAATTAGACCTAAGTCGAAATTTCTATCGAAGTAAACTACTTCAACGTTTTGACACTCACACAATTCGTCACTTCTTTGCTTCAGTCAATGAACATGCTTTGACACAAGGAATTACAATTCAACACACCACCTAATTTATTAGGTATAAGTTGTCTACATTCATCATAGATCTTAATTTCTTGAGCACTACGACCTGCACTCCTTTTGTCACAATATCTGCAATTTGATTCTCAGCTCTGCAGTGTTCCAAGTTCAGCTTCGCTTCTCCCATTTTCTGTCAAAGATAATGGAACCTTATTTTGATGTGCTTGCTTCGTCCATGTGCTATCAGATTCTTCGCCAAATTGATAGTAGGCATACTATCGATTTTCATGGTAATTGCTCCATGATCCTTCCCCGTAATCTCTTTGACCAAATTCACCATCCACGTTGCTTGACATGCACAAAGAGAATCAGCTACGTATTCTTCTTCACATGATGACAATGCCACTACTGCCTCCTTTCTTGAACTTTAAGAAACTAATGTACCACCTAGCATAAACACATAGCCAACTGTGAATTTTCTATCCTTAACATCACTACACCAACTTTAGTCAGTGTATCCCACTAGCTTGCATTTTTCCTTCATCATCTGCAGGAAATAAAATGCCATAGTAAAGAGTTCCTTTAGATACCTTAATATCCTACTTGTCGTTGCTAGGTGTGATACCTTTGCCTTCTGCATGAATCTACTTACCATACCCACATCGTATGCTAGATCATACCTTGTGTGACAAAGGTATCGAAGTGATCTAATGAGTCTTTTATACTGCATTGGATCGATATCATCTTCATTTATGTCTTCCTACAGTTGCATTGTGGGCTCAACTGAAGACGAAGTTGGGTTGCAATCTTGCATCTCAAATGTCTTGAGTATTTCGCCTGCATATCTTTTTTGGTGCATCATCAAGCCTCTACTACTCTTGTATAATTTGATGTGAAGGAAGTATGAGAAATTTCCCAAGTCTGACATTTCAAACTCTTCACTTAAGTCATGTTTGAAATCTTTGATCTCCTTATTGCAACTTTCTGTTCTCAACAGATCATCAACATAAAGACATAGTATAAGCAATTCACTATTGGTTCTTCTTACATATACTCCATGTTCAGTTGTGCACTTCACAAATTCCTTCTCCCTTAGACAGCTATCTATCTTCTTATTCCAAACTCTTGGAGCTGGCTAACTCCATAAAGGGCTTTATGTAGCCTGTATACCTTAATTTCTTCATGTTGCTTCATAAACCCAACTGATTGTGCAACATAAACTTCTTCATCTAAGGGGTCATTCAGGAATGAACATTTCACATCTATCTGACATATATGTCAGTTGTTCATATCTTTCTTAGCACTAAGTCTCCTTCTTCGAACAAGAAGAGATCCAACTGGAGAATATAAAATTCCACAGGGAAAAACAAGAAGTGTTCCAACTGGAGAATATAAAACTCTGCAAGAGATGAGAAAAGTGCGTAGATGAAGTTACGACTTGAAAATACTGGAGATAAAGAGAAAAGAGGATGTGGACTCCACGGGGAAATCTCAAAGGGAAAGTCATTTGTTCTACTAGAGAAGAAACTCCTAGGTAGACAAAGATTAACAGGATAATAAGCTTCCACTATTAGCATAGGGTTCAGCTTCTTATTTAATTAAGTCTCAAACTTGAATAGTGTGACAGACAAGCTTCACGAGGATAGCCACTTGCTGGAGATAAACAATAATTCTACCGGAGATGCTCAAAAGAGATGTGAGCAGGTCAAACCACACAACATACTTCTCAAGTAAAGAGACAACCATCTGACGGGGATGAAAGATTCACTGGATCGTAACAGGATTCTCATTTAAGAAGATAAACACCTGTTTAAATGACGAATCAAGTTGAATTGATAACAAGCTTCCGCTAGTAGGATAGGGCTCAGATTCTTCTTTAATCAAGTCCCAAACTTAAAAAAAAGGATAAACTACAAGTTGTCTCTACTAAAGGGACCGCCACCTGCTAGGAATTAGGAATCAATAACTCTACCGGGGATCTTCAAAGGAGATACAGGCAGGTTAGATTTCACGACAGACTTATCAAATAAAAAGACAACCATCTATTAGTGAAGATAAGGTTTCACAAAAAACTCCTCCGATAGGAATATACCGAAGAGATGCCATTTGATGTAACAGTTGATGGAGTTGCAACAGGATTCTCAAATAAAGAGATTCCACATGTTCAAATAACAAGTCCATGGCTTCACTTAATTGGATGAGGATCAATGATTTCATAATAAACTTCTCTACTGAGGATAAACTAGAGAGATGCCATTCAATGTGAAGATACAGATTGATATTTGGGGACATACAAGCTGCTCAAATAAAGAGACCCCCACTTGAAGTCACACAAACGTTGAAAATATCAAACAAGCTTCTCAAATAGACTACCATTTTTAATTGCAAAGGTTAAATAACCATAAAAACGGATAAGCTTCTTGAGAAAGACTGCAACTTATCGTTATAAAGATTGAAATAGCAAAAAAAAACTCCTCAAACAGACTTCCGCTTTTTGCCAAGTAAGATTAACCATGTTGGAAACATAGAAGCTTATCAAATAAAGAGATCGCCACTTGCTGTCAAACAAACATTCCAGGACAGCGTTATCATAACACTGTTGGGAAAGAAAATTTTTCTTCTTCTGATGGGGAATCATAAACAAATTCCTATTGAGGAAAATAAATTCTCGATGATGAAAAATAAATGCCTTCTCATCATCCAAGTTTCACAGTATAGAGAACTTTGAAATAATTGCTGGAGGAGGCCAAATTTTAATCCAGGAACAAACTGGAGAGAAACGGTCAAACAAGACGCTAACCCATGAGGAAATAACTCAACTGGGGAGTAATCCCGTCCAGATAATGGACTAGAAAGGAAAACTAAAGCAAAATCCTCCCATGAGAAATAAACTCAGTGGGGAATTAGAAAGGATATACACTTTCTGCTTAAGGTAGACACTCTAATGGAGAGAGAATACACACACTTTGTGAGGATAACAACACCAAATAGAGTGTGTAAGAAACACCAAGGAATGTAGGATGTACATGAATCTTAATTTAGTTATGCATGATGTATCTATGAATGAATGAATGAATATGTTGACAAAACAAGCACAATGATAAACTGAGGATGACCAAGCACCATACTACAATCGGATACTCGGTTAATCTCAACAAGATGGAGATATCACCATAGATTCTACTAAAAAATCCTGCTAGGGACCTAGCTGGAGATAAACAGAAGCCACTGAAGAAACAAACTCCTTCAATAAGACTCACATCTTTGAGGAGAGGAAGAATACTTCTTGGGAAGAAAACCCAATATCCAATCTTCTAATATCAATAATCCAATGAGAGGATAACAACATGAACTCTGTTTCGAGGGGATAGAAATATCCTCTGGGGAAACATGCAGAGCAAAATTCTTACGGGGTTATCAACCTCTGAAAGGGACAATATATGCATTAACTCCATTAAAGAAATGTATCTTTGCATAAACTCTGCTTTGGGGAAAGAAATTGATCTGCCAAGTATCATACTATAAGAGATCTTCCTAAAACCAATAGTAACAATTGCATAAATTCCGCTGAGGGAAATGCATACTTGGTGGGGATTATCAAGGAAAACTCTTTGGGGTTCAACAACCTCGAGGAAAACAT